ACATCCCGGGCAGAGGCAGCTGCAGGGTCAGAGGCAGGGAGGTGGGACTCCAGGTTGTTCAAGGAGGGCAGGGTGGTGTGGAGAGTTGGGGGAGGTTTCCAGGACATCAAAACCTCCAAGCATCCCCCGAGGAAGCGGAGCTCAATTCTGAAGGCCACAGGACCCGTGGGCTAGGCAGGCTCTCAGAATATTTCCAGATGTTGCTAAATGTTCCCTGGGAGTTGGGACCCTCTTGTTTGATGATCAGTCGGTTACGGGGAATGACGTGGATTCCTTAAGCTTTTTTTTTTTTTAAGATTTATTTATTTATGCATACAAGAACTAGGGTGCAGGCCAGAGGTGTGGGGGGTGAGAGGATTCACCAGAGACAGAGTGGGGAACAGAACAGGTGGACTGACTGAAGTACACTGCTGAGGGGAGCAGCGGGTGAGTCAGGAGAGGTCTGCCAGCCATGTGGGTTGCTCCCTGGCCGGCCGGGGATCAAACTCGTGCTGCAGTGGCTGCGGATAGTTTCCTAGGTTGCGTCTAGGTTGGGCCAGGTAGGGAAGAAGTCCGGGCGTTGTTGCTGAGTTTTGCCAGATTCTCCCAGGGCTGGGCCGATATGATGGACGCCAGGACCAAACCCCTCTGAAGAGACCGCCCTGGGCCACCTGACTGGTCATGCTAGGACAATGCCAGTGGTTCAGCTGGAATGTGCCACTGCTCACCCCCAGGCTAAATAAGATGTCAGGGTGGAGCACCCGACAGAAAGGATTTTGGGGAAAGTAACAACTGTGCTAAGTGTGTTACTGAGGCGCCTGTGTGGAGGGGGAGGTGCCGTTTTCTCGCCCTGGATGTCAGGCCGCAGAGTACGGTGACCTCAGTTCCTGAGCAGGGGGCGACTGGGAACTCGGGGTGGAGCTGAGCTATATTACACAGACGGCAAGTGGGTTCTGGGATTCTCGTTTCTCTGGCTTTGGCTTGTACCTAGGGCTTGGGGAAGAGTCACAAAAGGAGGCACATGGAGGAGGGACATGTGGAGAGATAAATGGAGAAGACACAGGTGAGAGAACATGGAGGTGGACCATGGCGTCCATTTTCTTGATTTGCATTTTCACATCTTTCTCCAGCTGTCCACCTGCCCCCGCCACCCCTTTCCTGTGGTTCCCTGCCAGAAGGTACCTTAGACTTGTGGCAAGCTTCTGGGCTGACCCTGCTCGGCTGGGCATTTGCCCTCAGGGAATGGGTGATTTGGGGGGGGGGTTGTTGGGAAGCTATTATTTGGAATATCCTCTCTTCTCTTCTCTCTCTTTGCACGCTAATTCTATCAAAGATCTTTCACACAAAGACTCTGCTTCTTTTCTTTATGTGGTGGATGGCAGAATCCCTTTTAGAGGATGCACCCCTGAAGTTTGGGGTCCCTGGTGCCCCTCGGTGACATACTAACAATTGCCCCCTGCTGCCTGCAGGTGTGGGGGGTGCTTCTTGGGTCAAGCAAGAGAGGCTACAGGGACCATTCTGAGAAGTGGATAGCTTGGGAGTTTAGGAACTATGGGCTGATGGGAGATTATTTAATTGTGTCATTTTTTTATTGTGGTATCATTGGTTTATAGCACTGACTATGCCACAGAGGTCTAGGGTCACACCCCTTCTCTGTGTTACCTGATATGCCATCACCAGGCAGTCATAGTCCCCAGCAGTCCATGGGCCCCTCCCCCTTTGCCTTCACCCTACCCTTTCTGGTATCTTCAGTTCTACAGTCAGATTTCTAGGGTTTGTTTTTGTTTGTTGTTTTGTTTTGTTTTTATATTTCACATATGTGTGAAATCATCCAGTAATTGCCTTTCTCTTTCTGACTTATGTCGCTTTGCATAATCCCTTCCAGTTCCATCCATGCTGTTGCAAATGTCAGGAATTCATCTTTTTTACAGCTTAGTAGTATTCTACAGTATAGATCTACACCACATCTTCAATGTCCACTCCTTTGTTCCTGGGCACCTAGGTGGTTTCCACAGCTGGGCTGTTGTGGATAATGCTGCTTTTGTTGGCCTTGTGCACTCTGAGTGGCCAGAGCCAGGGCTGGCACACAGTAGGTGCTCAGTAAAGACTTGTGATATGAGTTACAGCCTGTGGCTAGATGGGGCTGAGGCAGCAGAGATGGAGCAGGACAGGGTGTTCAGGGTGTTCAGGGTGTGAGCTGGACTGCTACAGGTGCAGAGCATGGTGTATGGACTCCGGTCAGCTTTGAGCCATTTCTAATTCAAGATGTGGGCTGTGGGAGAGGAGGCCTCAGCAGAGGCCTGGAGCAGCACCATCATGAAGGGATATGGTAAGTTATGGTAAGGGATATGGTAAGTTCTGGTCAGAGGAGGCTCAGGTCTCCCTGGTGCCCTGGAGCCAGAGTCAGAGGTATTAGCAAGAAAATCTCCAAGACACCCACAGAAGTGCCCCTGGAGAGAATGTGCCAGAAACTACCTCCCAAGGGACCAAATGGGAGGGGGGTGACAAATCTGTCCTGGCACAATATGCCCTTTTCTCCCCAACCCCTTTTCCTTGGGCTGGACCCTGAGCACAGCTGATAAATTTACAGGTTCCCAAGGTCTCACTGGATAAGCTCCAGGACACTGGAGCTCAGAGGGAGACACTGGAGCTCTGGGGGAGAAACTGGAGCTCCTGGGGGACACTGGGACTCCAGACAGGGCTGGGTGCTATCATCTCAGGGGGTTATTTCTTGCCTAAGAGTGCTTGGAAGAGCTACAGGATCTTCCCGAGACTTTACATGGAGGCTGGGGAAGGACACATTAAAACTGGGTGCAGACAAGTTTAAAACAGGTGGACCCTCAGTGCCAGGTATCCGCCTGCCTTAGCTCCTTCCCCAGAGGCTGAACCCCACCTACAAGCTACACATTCCAGGTTCCCTGGCCAAATGCTTCCTGTCTTGGGTGGGGCCAGTGGGAGACTGGAGGGGGACACTGAGGGCAGGAGGGAGGGGCAAGCCAGGGTGTTTCCCTCCTCTCTGCTTCTGTAGTGTCGCCAGCATTGGGGGCTCCAGAAACCCTGAGGAGCCGGGGTCACCCCATAGGGCTCTGGGCTTTGCAGTTGGCAATCTCAGGGTGATCTTCCTTAATTGTTCTTTTATTTATTTATTTATTTTTTTTTTTTTAAAGATTTATTGATTGATTGATTGATTGATTCATACATACATACAAGCACTGGGTACAGTCAGAAGCGCAGGAGGGTGAGAGGATTCACCAGAGCCAGAGCGGGGAGCAGAGCAGGCAGAAGGACCGAAGTACACTGCTGAGGGGAGCAGCGGGCGGCAGGAGAGGTCTGCGCGCCATGTGGGACCCTCCTCAGGTGGCCGGGGAGCAGCCGGGGATCGAACCGGCGCTGTGGAGGCTGCGGGCAGCTTCGCAACCCAGCGCTCAACCGCTGCGCCACCGGGGAGGCCCCTTAATTGTTCTTTTAATCCCTCTAAAATCTTTATAGCCAACTCCCCTTAGTAGACAGGGATTCGCTTTCCCGTTGATCTGGCTGTAGCCAACCCCCTGCTTTCAGCGAGTGGAGCTGGACCCAGGAGGATCTCCAGGATGGAGCCAGTCACTGGGAGGGGGAGTCCTTGGGAGTGGGGGTGAACCAGAGGACCCACTGGGTTGGAGGTGTGTGGGGGGCATCCAGGTAGAACCATTTGTGTCTGTCTCCACCAGGCGACACCCACTCCTGGTCTTTGACGCTCTCTTGTGGATCACGGAGTCCTCCAAACCATTTCCACGGGCTGTGCGTGCCACCCCCTCTGCCTGACCCATGTCTCAGAAACGTGTGGGGACCAGGTGATTTCCCAAGTCTGGTCAGGAGGTGGGATTTTCCATTCCCCAAGAGTCACTTCCCAGTTTCTCATTCAGCGCCTGAAAGCACCATCCTTGCTGTCGCCACCAAGGGAGACCTGGGGTGAAGGTGTCCCAGAGCAGGGACTCCTTACCTCGTGGGGCCATCTGTATGATGGAACAGGGGAACAGAACAGCCTCCTGCCACCCTGCTCACCCCACCTGTAGAGTGTCCCTGTGCTATGGCCAAGGACTCCAGGCTGCGAGAGTGCGGGCTGGTCCTGGCATGAGGGCCGGTACTCAAAATAAAGGGGGTGCAGCTAGAGCAGGTGCTCAGTCGATGTAAACTCCAGTAAAGCCAGGCCCATAGCCTCCAGGGGGACCCCACAACTTTCTGCTGAGCTTCTGTCCCAGCTTGAGGGACATGGGACTCAAGAAGGACAGCAGGCCGGGAGGTCGTGAGAATGTTTAGGGGTAAATGAGCCCCCGGAGAGTAGTTGGCACAGAGAATACTGGCACAGCGCTTTTGTGACAAATACGCTGACTGTCAACCTCCTGCTGCACACCGTGTTGTGTGTGTGATGGTTTTCAATCTTCAGGTCACCTCTAGGAGGTCAAGGCAGAGACCCAAGAGGTCTGGCTGCTGACTCTAAGGGAATGAATGATCCAGAACCCCCTAAACCGTCCCCACCCCCCAGCTAGCCCTTGCTTGGTGGGAGGTTTCCCGAGTTACTGGCCTCCCCAGGGGAGCAGGCTGCGGAGGGGAGAGGATAGGGATGCAGCAGGGCAGACAGGTGCACAGGTGCAGCCTCCAGGTGGCCACCAACCTGTTCCCAATGCGGGCCTGCTGCCCGCTCCGCGAAGGGCGCAGGGAGTGGATGGGGGAGTTAGAAGGGTGTTGGGGTCCCCGCGGGCTGAGGCTGGAGGGGTCGGCTCAGCAGCGCCGGGGGAGCGGCCGGGGGCGACTGCGGGGCGCGGGGGTGAGGGTCCGGCGGGCGGGGGCGGGGGTGGGGGTGGGCGGGGGAGGTGTGTCCGGGAGCCCCGCCCCCCGCCCGCCCCGCCGCGCCCCGCCCCCGCCCGCCTCGCCGCCGCCTCGGGCTTTCGCTTTCAGTCCCCGCGGAGCTGAGCCGGCGCCGGGACGCGCGGCCGCGACCGCCCGCGAAGCCTGGACGGCCCCCGCGCCCCCGCCGCCCCGCGATGGCGCCCGCCGGCCTCGGGGCCGCCCTGGCCGTCGGACTGCAGCTCTGGGCCGCGGCGCTCGCCGTGCCCGCCCAGGTGGGTGACCGCGCGCACCCCGCCCGCGCGCCCCCCGCCCGCGCGCAGCCCCCGCCCCGCGCCCGGGCGCGCTCCTCGGGGTCGCCGGCGCGGGGCTCCGGACGGGGGCGCCGCGGGCGCCGCACCCCCGGTGGCGGGGGAAGCTCGCGCCTCCGGAGGCCGCGGGGACCGGCTTTGCACACGTGCGTCCGGCCCGGATTCCGGCCTCTGCAGCCCCGGGCGCCCCCGGGCCCGCGCGCCTGGGCGGGACCCGCCGACGCTGGGCGAGCCCCACGGACCCCGGGCGCCCCCCGCACCCCTGCACGCGTCGCCGCCCACCCTCTGCCCCCGCGGGAGAGGCGAGGGCCCCGGAGCGCCGCCCCCGCCGCGGACCTGGGCACCGCTTCAGGGACTTCCTCCAAGGCCCGGCGAAGGCTTTCCTCTTTCTTAGAAACCCCAGCGCCCTGTGAAGGCGCGGGGCCGGGTGTGCGGCAGGGCCGACGAGGCGCCCGGGCTGCGGGCTGGACCCCGGCTGTCCTCTCTGGCCAGCCTCTTCCCCAGGACCCACCTGGTGGCCACTGGAGTTTGCTCCGGGAGGGTAGTGCCCTCGGGTCCTCCTGGCTCACTCCTGGAAGGGCCTGAGCTCTGGGGACAGGGCTGGGGTGAGGCCTTCCAAAAGGGCTACAAGGCAGACTGGATTTTAAGGAGGTCCAGGAGCATGTCCCCCCACTGGCGTCCCCAAGAGTCAGGTCCGGTCGATGAAGGGGCTGTTTGTCTTTTGCCCGTTTGGCTGTCTCCGCGGCCTGCTGCATAGAGCAGCCCATTTCACAGAGGGGAAAACTGAGGCCAGAGAATTCCTTGTTTCTCATGGAAGGCATGGGGTTCTTTTCCTCCCCAGGGGGAGTCTCTCCCTTTCCCTGTGACTTGGGAGGAGGTGTGAGTTCATCCCTGTCTGCACATCTGGGCATGGGGGGAAGGTGGGAGGTGACCTTGGCCCTGGCGGTCACACCAGTGACTCACTGGCCAGGGTTAAGGACATCTTTAGAGTCTGGTGCTTGAGAGCTGGGGGTGGGGGTGATCAGATCAGAAATGACCTCCCAGGGGCTACCAGGAGTGGGTCCTGGGGCAGCCCCAGAGATTTTCCTGCAAACAAAGGAGGTCCTGGGGTGGCCCGTGGCGCTGAGAGCTGGTGACCACAGCTGTGGGGTCATGCCACAGACTCTGGGCCTCCTGGGGTGTCATCCCACCTCAGTCATGCACGCCTGTGGGGGAGGCCAGGGCTCCTCTGCAGGACCCCGGACCTTGGTCCTCTCCCGCCTCTGCTGGCAGCACCTCTGCCCTCCTCTGAGCCTGTCTCCACAGCCTCACCACTGGTCTCCTGGCCCCTGCTCCTGGCTTCTCCCACCATCCTCCTTGGTGGCCTCCCTTGGGGAGGTTGGAGCCCCTCTCTTCCCAGCCTGAGGTGCTCCTTCAGGAATCCAGGCGAAGGGGGGGGGCTTGGCATCTCCCCATCACCTGTCTGCATCCCTGCCCCACACCTCTCGTCTCAGCCCCGTCCTCTCTCCGTGGTGCACTCCCTACCCCCATCTTTCAGGCCTTTTGCAGATGCCAGCCCCCCACCCCTGTCTTTGACCCCTTGGAGCCCGCATCCCTCTGGAGGACAGACCACATTCTGCTTTTTTTGGTATAGTTGCGGTTATCCACCTCGATAGATGGAAAGCTCCACGAGGCAGGGGCGTGGTCCTCCTCCGTCTCTCTCTTAGTCGCGTGGCAGCTTCTGTGCTTGAGTATCTACCAGCACCAGGCTCCAGTTCTAGGACTTTGCGGTGAATCGCACCGGAACCCTCTTTGCAGCAACTTCTAAAAGGTGGGCCATGCGGCTCCCATTTGGAGATGTGGAAACTGAGGTCTGGAGAGGTTGGGTTTCCCCAGACACAGAGCTGGGGAATGAGACTGGGGTGGGGGGGCTCGAAGCGGGCTCTGTTCTCTATACTCTCCCCCCAGGTTCCCAGCAACCCCACCCCGGTTCCCTGAACACAGGGCATTTGTGTCTTATCAGCTATATTTGCTGGCCGGTGTGGAATGCATCATTCTTTCCTCTAGTTATTCATTCAGTCCCCAAATAAACGCCAGTCACATGGGCAGGCTTAGCGCCCTCTGACGGGCGCGGGCAGAGCCCAGTAGCCTGGCAGCTGCTCGTTATTGGGGTGGGGCACAGAGAATCCTTCCCTGCTGGATCTCATCTATGTATTCCTGGAATCTTGAAGCTCCAGGGCTGCTGTTTGCCTCCCCATTCCCCAAAGGCCTGGGACCAGCTCTGGTTAGAGGAGAGGCTGGAGAGAGGCCCTCACGGTCAGCCAGGCATCTAGCCCAGCTCCTCCTGGATGGCCATCCCTCCCTAGGTCTGGGAGACATTTTATGGCCCTGACCAACGCATGCCTCCTGGAGGGACAGTCAGGAAGATGGGGGTGGAGGTGACTTGCGGGGAAGGAAGCGTTTTGATCCCAGCTGTGGTATATGTAGGTATGGGCGTTACATTCGGCTTATCATCGACACCATCACCATCTTAGTTCGCAGTGTAGGCCACGCTGGTTGCTTCTGTGTTCTGTAAACGTACCGCACACTCCCTGCCTCAGGGCCTCTGCACCTGCTTTCCCTTCGGCCTTGAATGTGCCTGTGCTGATCTGGCGCCCTCGCTGGGGCCACCCTCCCTGGGCGAGCTCCCATTCTCCCTATTCCCCTGGCCCGTGACCCACTCTGCTTCCTTCCCTTTGAGTGCTCTCCCCCGGGAACGTCAGCACTGTGAGGGCAGGGTCCTGCTCATTTCGAGGCTCACAGCCTCGCGCAGAAATACTTAAGCTTAGCATTTTTTGCCATTTGTGCCGTGTGGCTCCTCGCTGTGGGGCGCTGTCCTGCACATGGGGGATGTTTGGCAGCTTCCTTGCCTATAGCATCCCCCTCCGCCGCCGGGACAATTAAAAATGTCTCCAGATAATGCTGAATGTCCCGGGGCGGGTGGGGGGCTGGGGCTCGGGTTGAGAACCACTGCCTAAACCGTGCCTGGGAAAAATACTGAGTAAATGTGCAAAAATATTCATACGGCCTTTAGGACAACCCTCTCTTCTGGATGAGATGGAGGACTGTGAAAGCCAGTGGTGGCAGGCCTGGGCTCATTTCTCTCTCCCTCTTGGATTCCTCTCGCTGCTCTGTGGGGGCTCCCGAGGCTAAGGGTGCTCCCTGCAAAGTGCTCACACCCCATATCCCCACCCTGGTTTGCGATGGGGCCACCTTCTGGCAGTGACTCAGAGCCCCGTGCGACCTGCCTGCAAGTGGGAAGGGAGGGAAGCTGGAGGTGGTTGTGGGGAGCCCGGCCACTGGGGGAACAGGGGCAGAGTGGAGACTGGGTGGCTCCCGGTTCTGGACTCTGCAGGGCTTCCGAAGAGCAGTCCCGATGACTGAGGGGAAGGGCCAGGCTCAGAAGCCTAAGTCCTTCCTCTGCTGGCTACTGGCTGTGACTTGGGCCTCTGATTGTCTGGGAACCTCTGATTTCCTGTCTGTGAAATGAGTCTCCACCTGGCTGGCTGGTTGTCGGGACTGGCTGTGCAGCTGCTGGTGGCTCTGTAAACACTTGTGGTTTTGCAGGGCCTGACTGGGTCACAGGGCCATGCTAGGCTGTGGTGGGACCACAGTGGAGTCAGCTGCTCCTGCTCTGACCCCCAGAACTCAGGTGGGAGCTGCTGCCTGTTGACACCCCTGAGAATAATTTCCACCCACCCACCTTTTCTGGGCTGTGCTTCTGAATGTCCTAGAGTCTCCAGGAGGGCCTGGAGACTCACCCCACCTGCCCAATGCCTGGTCTCAGGACCCGGGTGTGTGGCAGAGGCTGTGGGGCCAGGAAATCACTCATCCCAGATTCTGATGTCATTTGAAGGTGAGGGTCCATCTATCATAGTATTGAGGTGTCTCCAGGCACGAGACCTCAGCTCTCCCGCCTGCAAAATGGGAAATGAAGAGAGGAAGCCTGGTTGTGCTGTCTTCGAGGTTGTGCTGTCTTCGAGGTTGTGCTGTCTGTTTCCTGCCCTCCAAGTCCAGCACGGCAGGTCTCTGGGCAGGGAGCACTGACCTGGGCATCAGGAGGCCAGAGCTCCTATCTGAACACCGTCATTGGCTTGCTGTGCGGCCTCACTCAACTCAACTGTGTTGGGCCGAAACATCTTTATCTGTAAAGATGTATCTTGAGTGTGCTGGACAAAGCCCCTGCTTAGGGGGTGAGGGGCCTAAAGCTTTCCCTGGAAGGAGGGCCCAGCTCTGCCCACTGTATCTTTGCTTCCCGGCCTCAGTCCCACTTGCTTTGGGGTGATCTTGACTCAGGCCCTGGTGACATCACGAATTCCTGCCTCCCTGCCTCTTAGTCCTAATTAGCATCTTTTAATGTCAGAAGCCCCAGACTGTGGGGAAGCCCATGCTTGCTGGGTCTCTGCTGCGGGGCCGCCGTCTGGGAGCGCACGGGTTCAAGGAAGCCTCGAGGGGGAAGGGGTGTTTTCCTCGAAGAAGCCCTTTGTCACTGGTGAGGAGCACACAGCCCTATTCCCCACCCCAGTTCTGAGCCCTTCACAGCCAGAACTTTGAGCTGGTGGCCGGGGGCGGGGACTCTGAAGTCAGGGCCCGCCCCTCGGGCCTACAGTCATTTTCCACCTTGTGACGTCACAGATGGTGGTTACATCACTGTGGTTTGAGCACTCAGGTTGTGGGCTGTGGAGAGGAAGTGTCTGTTTACCTGCAGGGGTTTGCAAGATTTGATTTCCTTGTGCCCCGAGTGTGAGCAGTGTGGAGGGAAATTGTGGGGCGGGGGGTTGCTGGCCAGTAGGCCCCAGACCTCAGCTCTGCCTGGTGTCTCCCGGCTTTCCTGGGACACTCCTGTCTCTAAGCCAAGTGTCTCCTTTCCAGGGGGTATGTGGGAGTTTGGAAGAGGCAGCAGCACTGGCTGTCTGCTCTGGAGGGTCACGGCCAGGCTGGGTAGC